TCAAGCCAACATGAAGAGGAAAATAAAAGTGCATTCCTCTCATGAAAGAGGGGGCCTAAAGTTACTTGTCAACAAGCAATTGTACGGCACGTGCTTCCGCCTGGGCCTCGCTCCCATGGCCACCTTGGTGTTGGGGGGAAGGGGCTCCCCTGTGACCCAAGCACAGTTCTCATCAACAAACACACCACATGCGGTCTCCAGCTGCAGAAAGCAAGTGGGTGTGCCAAGCCACTGTCCTGTGTGGTGAAGGTGAGAAGAGCTGGCGGAAGCTAGGCTGCGGGCCTCTAGTCTCAACGTGGTTGGAACTCTTATGAGAGCAGGCCTTAGAGACAGGGGTAATGACTCTGATGCCATCACCACTGGAGTTCCTTGTCCAACTGGACCCTACTTGCTGTTCCAGATGTGAGGAAAGAGAAAGGGATGCCGTTGAGAAGCGTGCTCCAACTTCCCCATGAGCACAGGGAGAGCTAAAGCCACGAAAGGAAACGGCTTTACTTTTGGCTTTTCCTGGGAGCCCAGAGGCCTAGAGACTGTGGACTTTCCCTGACAGGAGTGACCAGAAGAGCCAGAGCTGACCCATACAATCAAGGGGAAACCCCATGTCTGACTAAAGCACTGGAATCCATGTGAAATGGGGTTTCAGTTTCTTTGCTGCAACTGCCTTCGTTATGTCAGACTGACTGGGCTGAGAGCCAGCTCGGCTTAAGAAAAGAGTCAATGAGAGAAGGAAAGCAAAACAACGACTAGATCAGGACAAGGCAGGGAGATGTGTAGCATGTGGCTGGCGAGAGGCTTATGTAAACATGCACCACAGGTGTGTGAGCTGGCAAGGACTCAGAAGCCTTCCGAACCTGCCAGACAAGTGTGTCCATTCAGCTCACTAAAAATTAGTCATAAAATTTCACAACTTTCATCATATCTTCAATGGCTTGATTAATCCATTCAGATTCTGTGCAGTTTCTCAACTTACAGAAGCAACAGCTTAGGACCGAGGGAAAAAAGCAAGTTGCCTGGCATCAGTAATAAGCAATAGAGAACAGACTGGGAAAAAATGCTGCACAACCTCACGAATATGTGCAGTCTTAAGAAGCAAGGAGTAGATATGCTGTTATGAGGGGAGGGGCAGGGAGGCAGGGGCATAGGGAGATGGTGGCTCCAGGGTACACAAAGCTGCAGCCATCCAGGATGAGCAAGTCTACAGAGCTAAAACACAGCATGGGGACTGCGGTTGGTCACTCTGTGTCCGGTACCGGAAATTGGCTGAGAGATTTCAGATGCTCATACCACAAATACAAAGCGGAGGCTATACGAGGAGACAAGTGTGTTCATCTGTCTGTTCATCTGACATAGTAAACATGTCACTATGTCAAAACTTCATGATACACTGTAAATATATATTGTCTTATTTAAAAATAAAGTAACAGATCCGGATTTCCAATTCTAGGGAGTCCAGGTACTTAGTCAATGTGCTGTAGGAAATGATGAACCAACTCACTGTTGATTTACTATCCATCCTATCTAAAACATTTGCTGGAAAGCAGGGAAGAATCCAAAAGACAAACTAAAGACAAACCGGTTAAGATTCCATGCTCAATGCTGGGGAGATGGCCCAGTGTTTAAGAGCACTGGCTGTTCTTACAGAGAGCCCAGCTTTGATTCCCAGCACCCATCCTGGGAAGCTTACAACTATCTGTAACTCCAGTTCCAGGGGATCCAAATCCCTCTTCCAGCCTCCAAGAACACTGGACACACATGGTACACATACTGAGAAGCAGGTGCACACACATACACATACATGAAAATAAGTAAACAAATTTGTAAAAAAGATGCTATGCTCACAGAGTCAAGAGACATGTCTTTAATGCCAGCAGCACAGAGAATGAGGTAAGTTAAGCCTGGGTCACAGTGTGAGCCCTGTCTCAACACAAAAGTCCAGACAAGGCCAGTGAAACGGTGGTTCACAATTAAGGAGTATGTATTTACTTGTGTGTTGTGTGTCTATCCTCTCCCACTTTATCCCAGAGCCTTAACAGGAGTTGCTGGATTTTCCCAGAAACAATGAAGGGTGATAGAAAGTCATCCCTCCTTCAGTGAGGTTTACCTTCATGGACATAAGCTATGAACTTAACCTCTTTAAACTTGAACCAATGTCCTCAAAGGCTCAAACTCAGAATTCCCCTGCCTCCTAAGTGTTGGGACTACAAGGTGGATTTGATAGTACATATTCGTAAATCCCAGTATTCAGGAGCACGCACAAGAAGATTGCTGTGAGTGCAAGCCCAGCCTGGTCCACAGAACAAGTTCAGTCCAGCCATGGTTACCCAGAAAGGACCTGTCTGTCTCAAAAAGACAAATGAAAAATCAAAGAGAGAAACAAACAAACTCTTTTCAGTATGTGGATACTCTTTACAATGTTGAGTTATGTCTAAATGCTTATCTCTTATTCAGAAACCAATTTCAGCCCCTATCTATCTCTTGGCTAAATTGTCACTAATCTGAATTGATGATGCATCCAATCCTTTGGAATGGAGTGAGGCCCCATCTCTAACCCTGTGGTTCGAGGAGTCCTTATCCTTTAATATCCAGTTATATTTAATAGACAGGGGGCCAAAGTGATATAAGACTTCTGGTCTCAATCCTTTCACTCATGTGCAATGTGCTCTCACCAAGTCACTCCTCTCTGAGCCTCAGTTTTTCCCTCGGCAGCAGGAAGAGGACACTCCGCTGTCCTAGTTAGAGCACAGGAAGAATTCCCTGATGGCCCTTACTGTTTCATCTTCCATAGCCTTTGTGCACAAGATTGTAGAGATGAATTGGAAAATAACTCGGGTGATGTTGCAGGCAGGATGAAAACAAGAGCACTCTCTAGAGAAGCCACCCAAACCACTTTCTGGAAAGGCCCCCAGTGTCCAGCTCGGATCCGTTGCCCTATTTACAGGGTGGGCAGTCCCACCTCTTTCAGAGCCTGTATGCCTAAAGGCCCCCTCTCATGAATATCACCATTGTATTAGACTATGCCCCATTCTAACTTACTTGATTATGTAAAACAATAGTTTCACAAGCTTTGCCTTTCCCTAAGAGACTCCATTTTATAAGCAGCTTTTGACTACATTTTAAATGCAAACACAGAGATGGGATGACTGTACCCTGGTGGGCACACAAACACTATCATCTGTCTGGCACCAACCATAGCTCCAGGTGGTAAATAACTTATTCCTAAAAGTGAGAAAAGATAACAGCCCATAAGTTTATCAGGGTTTTTGTTTTATTTTGTTTTTGTTTTTAGAGACAGGGTTTCTCTGTGTAGCCTTGGCTGTCCTGGACTCTCTTTGCAGACCAGACTGGCTGGCCTCAAACTCACAGAGATCCACCTGCCTCTGCCTCCAAGTGCTGGGATTACAAGCTTTTGCCACCATACCCAGCTCATAAGGGTATTTTCTAAAATAGATTTTTTTTTAATTTATTATTTGTACAGTGTTCTGCCTAGATTTGTGCCTGCACACCAGAAGAGGGCACCAGATCTCATTATAGATGGTTATGAGCCACCATGTAGTTGCTGGGACTTGAACTCAGGACCTTTGGAAGAACATCCAGTGCTCTTAACCGCTGAGCCATTTCTCCAGCCCACATAAGTGTTTTTTAAGAACAAACAAACAGGCTCAAGCACTTAATTGAACATCACACTGAAGCAATAGTGCAACACAGAACACCTAACATCATGATGGTAACAGCCTCCACCAGCCTGTTACCTGGCCACATGCGGTGTGTGTGTGTGTGTGTGTGTGTGTGTGTGTGTGTGTGTGTGTGTG